CGGTCAAATCTCATCTTACAAAGGAAGTGACGTAGTTGGTGGTTCTGAAGATGACAAACAAAAGCTTAAACAAAGCGCCAGAACCACCAACTACGTCATCAGAGCCAAACTCATTCCCAGTTTCCGGAGACACCGATAACGTCTAATTTAGGGACTTTGAGCCACCAAAAAGCCGATTTAAATTTCTTTTCTTGAAATTTCTTTTGTCATTCCTTAATAAGGACATAATAAGCTACAAAATTATGCAAAAAAAATTTTTACTTCATAGGCACTTTAAAATGATTGTAACATTTAATTCAATAATAATGATACTGAGTACTCAAAAATTTTACATGTTTCCTTTCTTATTCCATAGAACCACTCAACCCACTCCTCATCTGGATGGGTAAGTGTTTAAAGTCTATTGTTAATTACTTGTAGGTGTTAATGCAGTTGTATAATTATATTGTATATTGTGTCTGAATGTACTGTACCATTATCCTAATTCTGATAAATATGTGGTACATAATCAATCAAAATGAAGAACACCAGTATTCCTACTTTTCTTGCACAATATCCTATTGTTGACAATTTTCTTTTTTTCCTTTTGCCTTTCTGCTTGAAAATGTGTTGATATTGCATGGAAAATTCTGCTTTAATCTTAATTTTCACTTAATGGGTAGGAATAAAGTGCAAATTAACACTTGGTTCATATGTCAGCGTGTGTTCATCGAGATATGAAGCACGCGGGAAGTTTGGAGAGCACGAAAGATGCATAAGAGTTGCTCGAGGCATAGCCGAGAGCAACTCCAGCTTCTTGAGTGCTCTCCAAACTTCCCAAGTGCTTCATATCTCAATGAACGCACAGCTGACATATGAATCAATTGTTTTATAACATTTTCAATGCAGTAGTTTATTTATAAAGGGCAGAAATTCCCTCTCCTACGCTTCAATCTGTTGTTTATTTATTTTGTTTTGCGAAAGTATTTCGGTATGCTTCAATGATCTTGTCTCAGATTGGTCAAAAACTGACAGATGCATTCATGGATGGAAATAAAGTTAGAGTTGCGAAACGAGATGAAACCGGAGTTGATTGTTTTGTTTTCCCTTTCTCTGGGTTCTTTCTTGGGAGTTAAAAAATCCATTCCCAAAGAAAAAGTAGGCAGATCTTCATCAGCTTGTTCGCTTGTTGCCATGTCTAGTTTAACTTTTTTGCAGAAGTTTTTTCCATTTTTTCAATGAAAAATGCTGAAGTCACTCACAAGAAAAAGAATTTTTTCGCAAGGCATTTGTTTGCCGACATCACCAGTGTGCACAATGGAAAATTGAAGCACACTTGGGCTATTGAATTTGATTGCAGGAATTTACAAGCTATGTTATAACAACAAATAAAGTAAAGGGAATGTTTTTCAAGCTAATTTGCAACTGTGGTTCTGAATCAAATTGTTTTATCATCTTAATATCTCAGCTAGTACACCTGCGTTAATGGGTCAACTTAGCAGGTGGTTTTTCAGCATATGGCCTGCTAAATTCAAAAGTTTTTTTGAACTGAAATCTTCCCTTCTGCAGCATTGTTGCTAGGTGCTGGCTTCCTGTCAAACTCACCAGATGAAAAAGCAGTGATTGCTGGCTGGCAATTGCTTGGTAACGCACAACAGGCATTTCTGAGGTTACACACTTACAATTGTTCACGGCCTTTAGCTGCCCTGCTTGAAATGTCAGCTGGCAGCAATATTTCTTAGCCACAACCCTGCTTCTGTTTGAACCCAGAGATATATTAATAAATATCTGAACAACCCTGTTTTCTCTGTAATCTAATTTTTTTCTGCTTGGATTTATGGCGATAAGTGGTGAAAAAACTTCTTCATTCGCTCTGACGAAGGGCTAACGCTCGAAACGTCAACTTTAGTAATCGTTATGGTGGCCAATTTACCATTTCAACTTTGTTGATATATCCAAATTATTTCATTACCCCCACCAACGCAGCCCCAAACAGTTTCTTTAGAAACTATCAGCCTTTATTCATAAATAAGAATTAAACTTCCCAAAGCTAAATTTGTTGTTTATGTAATTAGGGCTTGGAATCATACTTTCATCTTTAATTGTTGTCTTGAAGGATCCATGTGGTATTTGGCCATGTACTTCAAGGACATGAGGTGGTATCAGAAATTGAGAATCAAAAAGTTGATGACAAAAGTCGTCCCCAAGTTGATGTTAAAATCGCCAACTGTGGAGAGCTTATTCCAAAAGCAAAGGCTAAAGGTACAGAAAGACCCTCATAATTCCCTCTACTTAGAATTCTAGTTCTTATTTGTTAGGAAAATGCAAACTTTCAGGCTGGAAAGGATAATTCAGTATAAGAGTATGCAGGTTTTCTTCTATGAACATGTAGGTATGTCATCTCATTATAGGATCTCTTTGAGGATTTCTCACACAAATCAAAAGCGTTTCAATTACTTTTTTGCCAAAGTTGTTTATTCTTTTTTAAGCAATAATCACTCTGTGTAAATGGTACAGTATTTTTTCCAGAACTTGCTGAGGAATATGAGCCATCAAATAAGCTTCTCATTACCCAGCATTATTAACAAATATTCAATGCGCAAGTAGAATAGTTTCCATAGGAAAAGTGGAAGTTAATTTTGTGAAATATTAAAAAGAAGATTCTCTTCAAAGCCTTAGTAGTGAAGAGTAAGTGTTTAACAGTCAGTATCAATTTAAATGGAGGAAAAGAAGCACACTCCATGTAGTTACTTTTCTGAATTCTGAAACACTGCCTAGGTCACTTATGTTGTATTTTTAGGCAAGACACCTTTATTTTCACAAATAATTTAGATATATCAACTAAGTTGAAGTGGTAAATTGACCACCGTAACGACTACAAAAGCTGACGTTTCGAGCGCTAGCCCTTCGTCGGAGGGGTAACCATTTAGCCCTTCGTCGGAGGGCTACCATTTCAACTTTGTTGATATATCCAAATTATTTCGTTACCCCCACCGACGCAGCCCTAAACAGTTTATTTAGAAACTATCAGCCTTTATTTATTTTCACAATGCTACCATCAAGCTAGAAGAATTCTTGTAAATGTGTACCAATGAATCGTCAGGGAAACCTGACAAAATGATCCATATGGGGAGGGGGGAAGGAGCTGCTATTCTGCTATGGGATCCACCCTTGGGAAGAAGGAATCTTTTTGCACCAAGCTGATCAAAATCTGAACTTTACCAGTCCAGATTTAGATGCAACAGCAATGTAGGGATCCAATTTTAGCCCTCTTGATGTAATGCTAAGTAGACCAGAAAATGCCTTGGTGGCTTCTCTGAGAATATTATGTAATTCAGATCACGCAGGGTTACCCAATCAAGCTCCTTTCTTACATAGTCATCCACTCCCATTCATACATACATAGGTTAATTGACCACTCCCCATAGGGGCTTTATAGGGCCAACACCCACCCATCCCACCCAGGGGAGGACGTCCATCACACAGTAATCTCGTTCGTGGGAAATTAACGTCTCCTACCCCTAACCCTGCCAGGAGAGGGGGCCTACGGTTTATTCGTCCTTATCC